CGGGCTAAGAGTGAAGGAAGTACACGTAATTTGTAAAAGAAAGTTGCGGGAAGATTCCTTTGGGAGTTCATGTGCCAGCTAGTTGATGTGATGCTCAGAATTACTGGGTTTTTGGACTTTGTCCGTCGGGTATTTTAGAAATTACCAAACATAACGGTTCGGAAACTGGTTCTGTTTTCGTCCTCAGGTGAGGGCGGAGGAAGACATCTGCTCTGTTGGGTACCTCCCCCCCCCATCACCTGAGGACGGAAACAGATCCAGTTTCCTTAACGTGTCGTCAGAACCCTTTAGAATTGAGTTAATGTAATGATAATGTACACAATTACACGTTACACAAAACACGATGAAACGTACTCATATTGATTTGAGACTTGTGAACAGTACTGGACATCGAGATTGGGATTAATTTATCTAGATGATGTCCAGGTTGTAATTGCTCGAAGTGTCGGAACTAATTTAGCCCACTGTTTTAATTGAATATATGTGGGAATCATAGTTTCGAATTATCACACTGAGTTTTGTGGACCTTGCCGTGCTCAAGTCCAAGCAGCTACAGACTGCGACTAACGCAGCTTTTATACATAGGCTCAGTGCCTTTTCTCAACCTCTGTGCATTTATTTAAACAGTTGATGCATACCGGCAGCCTCATCAGAAGTCATAAGTAACACACATGCTTGTGGTTAGAATGGGGAGTTCCAGAATATTAGTGGAAGAAGTCACGGAAATTGTCTGCTTAAAAGACCGAAAGGAGAAGGGGAAATGAAATTGAGATGGAAGGAAGGGAGATTGGATTTTAGAATCGGAGGTAGACGGAACTGGCCTAGGTTAGTGTTAATTGAAGGGCTTTCTTATCAATACCGAACGTCCGGGTTCCGCGACCGCGGTTTGTTATGTTTTGTTTAACTCGATTCTGTATCCAGATTGTGTTGGGTAATAGTGCCTTTGTCACATTAGAACACTCTTTAGTTTACATTGCCCTGTTTCATCCCAGATCTTCGAGGGAGGTGGGGTAATGGTAAGTTGACTGAATTGTATTCTGGAGGCATCTGTTTCGAACTTCGATAATTCTCACCGAAATTTGGTGTCGTTTTCCTTGATGTTAGACTGGTAATACATGAATAACTTTCATCTCACCTCATTCTACAACATATTTTTATTACTGATAGAGTTTTTTTTAGTAGTTTGTATCCCCGCACCGGAGTGATGTAGGCGCGTCTGGACCCGCACTGCGAGTAGCTGTAATGGGACCTCAGGCAGATGGCGAGAGAGACATTCAGAAACAGGAGAGAAGTGTCAGGCTTAAATCTGATTATGCTTGTTGTCGCTGCGTATGATAACAGCATGATTCTTGGTTTATGGCGGTGGACAGATGGTTTTACCATAAAGACTTTTCAAGGAAGATTTCTTTGTTCCCGTCTAAAGTAACGCTTGCCAGGCTGTGAATCTTGTACTTTTGAAGAGATCTCGGGGATAAGTTTCAGGTGTTCTTGACGAAGCAATTCCAAGAATCAGGGTCCTCGAAAGCTGGTAATCGCTAGGCTGGGCAACAGATTCCGCGGTTTTTGTGAGCCAGAAGTTTCGTTGCCGTGTCACAAGAACCTTTCACTGGATAATATCCTGAATCAGGAGAATTTAACAACGTCCTCGCTCCTGTGTCTTTAAGATCCACTGTATTATTTAGCGCAGGCTGGACTACGGAGGGTCGGAGTTCGAGTCCCCGTAGGGGCAAGGTTTTTCTCTTCTCCACGTCCATATCGGATTTGGGCCCCACTCAGCCCCCTCTCCAGTGGATACGGGGCTCTTCCGGAGGTAATGTGGTCGGGGCATGAAGCTGACCACTCACGTACAACTAGCTCCGAGGTGAAGAATACGTGGATCCATACATCCACTTCCCCGTACGTTTTCATGGCGTAGTGCTTTATTAGTGAAGCGCATGGGCGTCTCTTTCTCCTATCTATACCCAGATTCCCCAGTTAGATTTTACGCCTAACATGTGTATGTATATAGTTTTAGGGGGTTCACTGGGGAAGTTGCCTGAGGGTGGGCCTTCTTGTATCATTGGTATGTTTAAGACACATGTACAATCAGCGATGGCGTTGATGGATCTCTTCTGTTAAACTTGCACTGTGTTTCCAGCCTGTTCCATCTGCATACTTGTTATGTGTAGTGCTTTGCTTCCTTTTGCGAGGGAAATCGCCTGTAGAGCTTTAGCTGCTTGGTAAAGTCAAGTGAATCCGATTTCTGAGACGCGTGGAAAGCACTTAGACCTGCACGTGGCCGCGCCATAGCTCAAGCGGTTAGTCACTGGCTTCACACCGCGGCGGCCCGGGTTCGATCCTGGGTCTGGTCAAGTGGGGTTTGTGGTGAACGAAGTGGCGCTGGGGCAGGTTTTCTCCGAGTACTTCGGTTTTCCCTGCAAATCTTCATTCCACCAATTGCTCCACAATCACCCTCACCTATCATCTGGGGCTGGTACAGTAGGCCAGAAGTGGCCGCAGTACAAGGGACTCAGTCCCACCCCACTAGCAATAAAAAAGGCATGGTTTTTGCATGCTTGCCAGTATTGAATAACCATGTAAATCGTCTGGATTTTTCTTGAAAAAACCACAGCAACCTTTAAATTGTTTGTTTAATATATATATATATATATATATATTGACGCTGCACTTAAAGGTTTTACATACAACAGTATTCTGTAGTATCTCTTTGTTACACAGAGAATAACAGGACAGTAATTACCCTTTTAACTGACACATGGAGGTCAGTGCACTTAAAGATACGGGGACTGAACTGCTTTTACTTATCATTCATGCAAGTTCTGCAAACCAGAGAAGGTGTCATTACACGTCTTTTATATATACAGGGAATTGTGCTTATTAAATTCCGGTAGAGAACTCTCAGAGATATACGAGTAGCCTGGGTGCCAATTGAAATTATATTGTAGGCACTTGCTTCTACAAATGGCGTGATTTGTGTTAACAATATTGCGTTAAGCGACACATAATAAGGCTCTTGTCCTGCACTATGTAGACCAAATCCTACAATTAATCCTCATGATCTGGGTTTGCGTAGGTTGATCGAGCGGTGAGTTCTAGACTTTCATTCTGGGGGTGCTGGGCTCGGATCTCGGCCAGCATACCGACTATGCTGGCGGGTTTTTCTTGGCTGCCCTCAGTCCTTCCAGAATAGTACCTCAGGCCACTACCACTTCCTTCCAAATCCTTTCCAGTTCACCATTCATCAGACATCCTACCATTGACAGCGGTGTGAAATAGAATTAAATTTTCTGAAGTGCCCAGATTCGTAATCGATACAAATTGAATTGCATTAATTCAGATTGAAGATAATGTGATCATTTCGGTAGAGCTTCGGGAAATGTGCTGGAATTTATAAGACTGTGAAGTAGCAAATTTGTATCGTCGCGGTGGGTCGAAAGTTCCTTCGTTGCCGTCAGCGGTTCCCTCGAACAGAAGAAGTGCTCTCCTTTGGATTCCTTCGGGCTGTAATCCGTGCCATAAGGAAGATGGTGCTTCAGAAGAGCAAATCTCAACTAGACAACTGGGACTCAGCACAGAAACTGGTACGATGTCATTGCAAAGAACATTCTCTCATACGAGATCTGACAGCTAAATAACTGGACTGATTTTGTGAATCATATAGTCACTAATTTTTATGATTGTGGCCGTCTTCAAATTGCTCATCTACTGACGTCTTACACGCATTCAATTGTGTTAACATTCCCGAAAGTCATGCGCCTGAAGTCCCTTAGCATTCCCGTCACATTATTCCGAGTTTCAATGTGAGACCCCTTCAAAGATATTTTTGGTTTCGGGAGCATGTGAAAATCACACGACGCCATGTTAGTCGAATACGGCGGACATTGCAACTCTGGCGCTCGTTTCTTGGCAGAAAATCGCTGCCGAAAATTTAGTGTGGAATAAACGTGATGATTCCGAATTCACTCTTCTTCCTCCGATTTTGTCACTGTTCGGCGAACGCGCTGCCATTAACGTTCCGAATTCGGAAGGTAGACGGTTTTGGAGGCGCATTCGCGGTGGATAACTGCTTAACGAAAAATAAATCGCGATTTTGGCGATCGAAATTCTTGCTGTCTCGGAGACAGCCTTTCGGCAATCTTCTTGCGCGGTAGAGGACATTTCTTTCCTCGTGTTCTGCCCACAGCTGTTTCTCTATTATTTGGCGCACACGTTATTTATGTTCATATATATTTTATCAAAATCGATCTAAGATAAGTTGATAATCATTTCTCGACATTTAAATTACGTTGTACACGTTTGGTTCTCGTAATGACGTTATCGGACAGCCGGCTCTGTCGCCGTCTGTAGCGTCTTCCCTTCGTGTGGAAATCGCTTAGCCTACACAGCTTGTGTTCTCTCGTGTTTCCCTTTCCGTAAACTTGTTATAACGTGAAATGTTAAACAGTTTCGTCTAGTGTGACTGGTGGAGATTTTTCTTATTTCAATTATTTATTCCCTTCCTCTGACAAGGAACACATAAGAAATATAAGACCAAACAAAGACGAATCGGCATTTTCCCGACATACAAGTATAGTATACTAAACAAACGCCACCAGTACGGACCGACAGTAATCATGGAAATGGTTGAGAACGCAAATTGCACACATCCCTCCTGGGACACCCTGTATATATATAGTGTTGAATGTGTGCATGAGTGTCGGATAGCCTTACACCCTACTGTGGTTATCCGGTTTAATCTAACAGGGATTTCATAATCAGTTGAGTTGTTTGCTATATGCTCGCATGTTTGTGCAATTGAGCAAATGTTGCCCTCAAGGGAGACTGCCTGTCCATTTGTGTTAATTGAAGAAAGAGTGGAAACGCTGATAAAGTCGTCTGGCGAACTGACAGTAGTTGCGGCTCCAATCTTCTAAAGAATGATCGCACACTTAGTATAGGCTGTCTGTGTTATCATTATCTTTACTGACAGCCGTGATTACCATATCTTCTCTTTGTTACAGGTGAGTGCACCAATTGTGATGTCAGCATGCCAGCAAAGGCGGGACTTGGTAATCAGGTAAAGTGTCCAGTCTCTGGTGAGTTGGCCTAATTTTGTTGCAATGTGTGCTACGCTACCCTGTGAATGCTGTCACCCGGGGTACTTCAGTCAGTAAAGTTACCGACTACGAGTCGGACGTTCGGGTTTGGATTTCTGGTAGGGCCAGGTGTTTTTCTCATCGCTTCTCTTTTCAGACAGGCTGTGGACGCACCGACCCTCGTATCTAACAGGTACCGGAAGTAAGGCAACCGGAACGTGAAGCTGAACACTCAACTCCGTCTACAACTAAGTTCTATACAACCATTACCTCATATGCGAGTATTTTCATGTCTCGATTAAGGAGTTTGGTCTAGCAGTAACATTCTAGCCTTCTGTTCCAGAGGTGCTCGTTTCGGATCTCGACCGGGACACCGGATATGCGTTTCCTCAGTCTCTCCAGGCTAGTGCCGCTATTGGGCGACGACTGCGTCCTTCCAGACACTTTCACATTCATCAGTCAGTTTGTCATCCTCCAGCAGAACCTGGCAGGTCGTGTGATCAGTCAATCAAAAATTAGATGGGCCTTAGGTACCTTCAAACCATTTAAGTCTGCGGGAACAGATGAAATTGTTCCAGCACTTCTGCAGCAAGGGATGGAACATTTAGCCCCACAACTATGCCGCATATTCAGAGCCTGCCTGGCGCATGGGTTTATCCCTACGGCCTGGAGGCAAGTCAAAGTGACATTTATACCGAAGCCCGGGAAACTTGATTTATACAGAGGCTAAAGCTTATCCTCCTATCAGCCTGTCGTCTTTCCTTATGAAAACGATGGAGAAAACAGTAGATAGATACATTAGGGACGGTGCATTGAAGATTCATTCTCTGCACCGAAACCAACATTCTTGCCAGATAGGTAAATTTACTGAAACCGCACTGCATAATGTGGTTACACGCATAGAAAGTGCCCTTGGAGCATTCCTTGACGTAGAGGGAGCCTTTGGCAGAACCCCTTTTGACACAATAAAACAAGCTGCAGAAAGGCATGGCATTGAGACCGCAATTTGCAGAAGAGGGTGTCCGCAGGGAGGCGTTCTCTCCCCTCCGCTGTGGAGCCCGCTCGTGGATGATCTTTGGGAGCTCAACATTAAAGGTCATTTCACAGTAGGATATGCTGCCGATATAGCAATCCTAATCAATGGGAAATTCCCTTACAGTATGTCAGAGGTCTTACAAACAGCCCTGCACTCAGTTCAACAGGGGTGCGAAGGAACAAACTTGTCTATCAATCTGAAGAAGGCTGTAATTATACCATTTACTAGGTAGAGGCATATAAAGGGGCTTAAGGAACCAGTCCTCCTCATTCAAGCGATCCGAGTATCCAGTGAAGTCAAGTACCTTGGAATAACATTAGACAAGGGACTAACACGGAAAAAAAAAACAGCCCGACAAGGCTATTAACAGGGCCTATGAGGCCTTCTGGACATGCAGAGGCACGTTTGTTAAAACCTGGGGACTGAAACCAAAGGTGGTGTATTGGTTATACACTGCTATAGTAAGATCCATAATTACCTATGCTGCCACTATATGGTGGCCTAGAGTCAAACTTAAAGCAAGTCAGGCATAACTTATCAGACTGCAAAGGACGGCCTGCTTGGGAATTACGGGAGCAATGAGAACAGCTCCAACAGCTGCAATGCAAATCCTAATAGGACTCCCCCCACTGCATCTGTGGATGGAAGCAGAGACCAAGTTAGGAAATTTCAGATTACGTTGCAGTGATCAGTGGAGACCTAAATCTGAAGGTTTTGGACACGCATACAAGATTCAGGACATGAAAAAGGAACCCATCCTACAGATGAGATCCGATAAAATGCTACCGAAGCATGTCTATGATAAACCCTTCATGATCAGATTTCCTGATAGAAGCGAATGGAAAGAGGGGTTTCAACCCGATAGAAAGGGGAAAATAATCTGGTATACAGATGGTTCCAAGACAAATAAAGGCACTGGAGCTGGGGTGTATTGTGATGGGACAGAGCGGAAACGCAGTTTCGGCCTTGGTCAGTATATAACAGTATTCCAGGCAGAAGTGTATGCAATTAAGGCATGCGCAGTTGCGAATTCAGATAGAAACTTCAAAAATAGGAATATCTATGAAGAAAGCAGTCTTCTGGGATTTCGCACCGTGTACTTGTATACACCACATATACACGGTGCCAAATCCCAGAAGACTGCTTTCTTCATAGTCACCGCCGTGAAAGCCTCAAATCTTACACATATTGCTTCATACACATTAGGTTATATTAAAGTGCCAGAAGTGAACGTAAGTATTATACTGCTACCTGACGTTTGTTTGCGAGCCAGGGTTTTTAGGGTTTCATGTTCGGCATGAAATATCCCGCACTTTGTGGTCTGTAAACACTGTGGCTATGCCTGGCAGATCGCGGAACGGTCGCTGAGAGGACAGGTTTCACGAAATGTCTTATTTAGCTATGCAGTGTATTTTGGAGGGACTGTTGTACGACGGGGCCAGAAGCTAGACTATGTATGTATGTATTATGGGAGGGGGTGGGTTTCCCCATGCACTTAGACCAGTTATTGGTCCATTGTGCGTCCCCCTTTTAATTTCTACTGTCGCCATACCCTACCGGTAACGGTGCGTGCCATCAGCCCCCGTATAGCCAACGAGGTCGGCCCCCGGTACCTTGATGCTTCCCCCATCCACCAGAGGCATTGGAGACTACTTGGGCGGGAAAGGGCCTGTAATTTAGCTCAGAGGTCTCCTAAAGACATGAGGTTCTTTTACGTGCCGTAAATCTACGACACGGGACACACGGCTTAAAGTCCCTCCCGGAGGACTTATTCCCTGAATTTTTCCGCCGGGTTTGAACCCGCGTACCTTGAGTCATGAGGTGGGAACGTTACCCCTAGAGTACGGAGGCCGCTTAAGCTAGACTATAAAATGATAGATGAATTGGAAAAGGATTTCGGAGAAAGCGGTCATGACCTAATCGAGATAGTGTCCAAGAGTTTGCTACGATGGACAGTGGAGAACCACGGAAAAACTTAGCATAGTCAGCGTCCTCACCGAGATTCGAACCGAGCGCATCCTGAATACGAATCAGGAGGCTACTGCAGAGCCACTCTATTTGATGCAGAGTATTTCAGTGTAGGGCGTCACTGTCAGGAAATTCAACATGAATTTCAGTTTCACGCGTTTTGTGTACAAGTACGTGTATGTTCCATCACAGTGCGAAACTTGCTGCACGAAAATGACATTCATGTGAGGGAAGTATTGTACAATATTCTGAAAGAGTTTGGGATACCCATGAAAGTAGTTAGGCTGATTAAAATGTGTTTAAACGAAACGTATGGTAAAGTACGCGTAGGTAAACATTTGTCTGATAAATTTCCTATCCAGAATGGTCTAAAACAAGGAGATGCTTTATCGCCACCCCTTTTCAACTTTGCTTTAGAATATGCCATTAGGAAGGTCCAGGAAACCAGGTGGGAATGAAATTAAACGGGCCCCATCAGCTGTTGGTCTGTGCCGATGATGTGAATGTACTGGGTGATAATGTGGATACTGTAAACACACACAAACGTTAATTGACGCAAGTAAGGAGATTGGTGTAGAAGTGAACACAGAGAAAACTAAGTACATGTTGCTGACTCGTGACCAAAATGCAGGGCAAAATCATGACATAAAGATAGGAAACAGGTGTTTTGAAAAATGTGGCACCGTTGAGATATTTGGGAACAACGATAACAGATCGAAACCTGATTCAGGAGGAAGTTAAGAGGAGATTGAACTTGGGTAATGCTCGCTACCATTCGGTCAAGAACCTTTTGTCTTCTCGTCTGCTGTCCAAAAACATAAAAATTGGAGTGTACAAGACTATAATTTTGCCTGTGGTTCTGTTTGGGTGTGAAACTTGGTCGCTAACATTAAGGGAGTGAAATGGATTGAGGGTGTTGAGAATAACCGAAGAGGGATAAGGTGACAAGAGGTTGGAGAAAACTGCATAATGAGGAGCTTCATAACTTGTACTCTTCTCCAAGCATAATTAGAATTATCAAGTCAAGGAGGATGAGGTGGGCAGGGCATGTAGCACCGGATGGTGGAGATGAGGAATGCATGTAGGATATTGCTGGGAAAGCCAGAAGGAAAGAGAGGTTTCATCACTACAATTCTGTTTGCTTTTCTTGTCTTCCCTATTCTGGTTACCTTCCCTACACTCCTCTTAGATCCAAATGGTTCCCTGGACACTTTCAGACGTAATTTGTGTTGTTCATGAATGTACTATTCTGTATGCTATAACAGTTTAGTTCTTGAAAACGTCTTCTCTGAAGTTTCAGTTCATATATGAACTGGTTTATTTGTGTACAGTTTTCATTTCAATTATTAAACACTTTGAAACGTAGTCATTGCGTTGTGCAGTAAATATTCGATTGCATTCCTGAGCTTAATAAGTAGCCTAGCTACTGCTTTTCAACATTCAGGATATTCGTTTGTATTAAGTGGGGCTTAGCATAGGACGGGGTCAGCTCTTTGCATATATTGACTTGTGGACTGCCAGTTTGCGTGGGGGGTAGTGTCGTACAAGGCGACTGGCTGGTTCGGCGTTCAGTAACAGGAACAACAGACAGCCTGCGGTAAACGTTACGGTTGGTGGGTACTGTACAGAACGTCCGCTCGGTTGGGTGACCCAGAGAGACTTTGCTTGCGTGTCGACATAGTCGCGACTCTTGTGTACAGAGCAGGAAGTGAGCAGTCGAAGCTGAATATGTGATTCTTCTCACCTGACAGTGCTGTCCTGCTAGTGTTCGGAACGTAATTTTCATTTGTAAGCAAAGCAGTCTGTTGTTAATCATGCAAAAACGCGTAGTGTGAAGTTCATTTAATGAAACAGGAAGAAGTAAATACGTGGTATGGTAAGCCGTTCCCATCCCAAATAGGAGACATTTCAAGTGTTCAGTGTTCTTGCCATTCCTTTTAAATGTGTAAAAGTGTTTGTGCGTGGAAGTAAAATTCT